AACAAGTGGTGTCCCTCAGGGGTCAGTACTGGGCCCAGTCCTGTTCAACATATTCATTGATGATCTGGATGAAGGGATAGAGTGTACCATCAGCAAGTTTGCTGATGACACAGAACTGGGAGGAGTGGCTGACACGCCAGAAGGATGTGCCGCCATACAGCGAGACCTGGACAGGCTGGAGAGTGGGCAGAGAGAAACCTGATGAAATTCAACAAGGGTTGAAGGGTTCAAGTGTAGGGTACTGCGTCTGGGGAGGAATAACCCCATGCATCAGTCCAGGTTGGGGGCTGACCTCCTGGAGAGCAGCTGTGTGGAAAGGGACCTGGGAGTCCTGGTGGACCTGCGTTACCCCTGCTCAACATTGACACACGTGCGGGAGCACACCCCTTATTGTGTCTGGAATAGGACTCCAGCTGACCCTGAGATGAGGCTCATGAGAACCAAGACCACCAGAAGCCTTGTCCTGAGTGGGCACTCCACGAGGGTGGGTGCTCTCCCCTTACTGCCTCCGGCCAGCTCCTGCTCCGCTCTCTTAAGGCCGCTTAGCAGCACTGCTGCCTTTCTGCCTGTCATATGGGAGTAGTACTTAATATCTGTGACTTGGGACTTTTTTCCAAAGGTTTGTTGTTTTTTTCCTCCCCAGACACATTGCTTTCAGAAACGTCAAAGGAAAAGAAGACAGCTCTTCCTTTGAGAAATGGTCCCTGTCCTCATTTGCGGCACTGGCACATCCGGTTGCCCAAAGTCAGTTCCCTGACCAAGCGTTGGTGGTTTGCTCAAGGCAAAAGCCCAGAAGAAGTGTAAGTGATTATATTGTAGGCAGGAGGGAAAAATGTTTCTGCTGGCTGAGAAGGAGCGGCAGATCCAGAGCGCGCAGGTGATGTGGCAGTGCGGGCTGGAGGAAGCCTGGAAGGAGTGGAAGCACCAGTACGTTGCCATGGCTCAGGCGTGTTTCCCGGTAACGGGCAAACAGATGCATTGACCTCTGGGCTTCTGAGGCTGATGTTCACGTGCGGCGTTTTCGGACGTTGATTTGCCTGGGGTTTGCTTTTTTGAGAGTGAGACGAACGTAAGCGGGCTTCTATTAATCTCGCGTCTTCTACCGAGTACGCTGTTGGATGCAGTTTTAGAGAACTAATGGTGACAAGCCTTTGCTGGTGTGGTATTGCTTTACTTGTGTGGTGGAGAGAACCCTTAAACTGACAGGAGAGAGTCACCATAAACCTGGGCCTGTTGCATGTGTTGCCAATGTTTCT